TACCTGACTTCAAACTATACTACAAGTAACTAAAACAACATTGTGCTGGTACAAAAACAGTTACACAGACCAATGAAACAGATTAGAGAACCCAGAAATAAAGCCACACAACTACAACTATCTGATCTTTGACAAAGCTGATAATAACAAGCAATGGGGAAAGTTTACCCTATTCAGTAGATGGTGCTGGGATAACTGGCTAGGCGTATGCAGAAGATTGAAACTGGACCCCTACCTTTTACCATATGCAAAAATCAATTTAAGATGGATTAAATACTGAAATGTAAAACCCAAAACTGTAAAAACCTTAGAAGAGAACCTAGGGAATAATATTCTGGACATCAGCCCTTGCAAAGACTTCATGACAAAGATTCCAAAAGCAATTGCATCAAAAACAAAACTTGACAGGTGAACCTAATTAAACTAAAGAGTTTCTGCACAGCAAAAGAAACTGTCAAAAGAGTAAACAGGCAACCTAAGGACAGGAGAAAATATTTGCAAATTATGCATCCAACAAAGGTCTAATATCCAGAATCTGTAAAGAACTTAATAAGCAAAAAATGAACAACCCCATTAAAAATGGGTAAAGGACTTGAACATACACTTCTCAAAAGAGACATACATGTGGCCATCAAGTATATGAAAAAATGCTCAATGTCACTAATCATTAGGGAAATGCAAATCAAAACCACAATGAGATACCATCTTATACCAGTCAGAATGGCTGTTATTAAAAAGTCAAAAAATAACAGATGCTGGTGAAGTTTCAGATAAAAGCGAACACTTATACACAGCTAGTGGGAATGTAAATTAGCTCAGCTAATGTGGAAAATAGTCTGGAGATTTCTCAAAGAACTTAAAAAGAACTACCATTCGACCCAGCAATCCCATTACTGCGTATATACCCAAAGGAATATAAACTGTTCTACCATAAAGATGCATGCACATTTATCTTCAGAGCAGCGCCATTCACAATAGCAAAGACGTGGAATCAACCTAGATCTCCATCAACAGTGGACTGGCTTAAAAAAAAAATGTGGTATGTATACATCATGGAATCCTATGCAGTCACAGAAAAAGAACAAGATCATGTCCTTAACAGCAACGTGGATGCAGCTAGAGGCCATTATCCTAAGCAAATTAATGTGGGAACAGAAAACCAAATACCACATGTTCTCCATAAGTTGGAGCTAAACCTTGAGTACACATGGACACAAAGAAGGGAGCAATTAACATCAGGGCCTGCTTGAGAGTGAAGGGTGGGAGGAGGGTGAGGATTGAAAAACTGCTTATCGGGTATTGTGCTGATTACCTAGGTAACAAAATTATCTGTATACCAAATCCATGTAACACATAATTTACCCACATAACAAACCTGCAAATGTGCCCCTTGAACCTAAAATAAAAGTTAGACAGAAAAAAAATAATAATAATAACTGTGGTTACTGTGGCATGCATCTGTACTTCCAGTAACTCGAGAGGCTGAGGTGAGTGAATTGCTTGTTCCTAGGAGTTCAAGTCCCGCCTGGGCATCATAGCAAGACAGTGTCTCTAAATACATAAATAAAAGTGATATACAAAAATAGGTTCCATTCTTTTTCACCAGCAACAAGCAGTTAGATATTTTAAAATGCAATTTCCAACACAATTAGCCACAAAATTAAGTATCTAGCAATACATCTAAACAAAATATTTATAAAAATGGTGTGGAAAATTTTTACAATTAAAGAAATTATAATCGTTTATTAAAGAACTAAATAAATTGACAGGTATTTTATATTCACGATAGGAAAACTCAATGTTATAAAATTATCAATCTTCTAAATTAGTCAATACATTTAATACAATTTCAGTCAAAATCCTGATGGGATTTTTAATAAAACTTGATTGATAAAAAGTGATTTTAAGATTTGTGTGGAAAACCAAAGGGCCAACATTAAGACAACTTTAAAGGGTAAGTTGTGCAGAGGTGGGATGGTTGTGGGGGAGGTGGAAGAGAGAACTTGACCTATCTAATATAACTTATTATTGAAGCGAGAGTAATTAAATTAGTGTCATACTCATTCACAAATAAACAAACAGACCAATGGAAACTGAAGATAACATAGAACAGATATAAGTATATTTTGAAACTTGATTTTTGACAAATTGATTATGCACTGCAGATCTATAAGGAAATGAACTATTTAATAAATGTTACTAGTACAATTGGTTATCCAAATGGAAAAACAAAAATACTCTCCCTCACACAAATGAGCACGTGCACGAACACACACAAACACATATCCTGCAAAATTAAATTCCAATTTGATTAAAGGCTTAACTGTTAAAATCAAAATCTTAAAACTCTTGGGAGAACATTTAAGATATTTTATGACCTTATAAGGAAAGGGCAAGCAGTAAAGAGTTCTTAAGACAAAATACTAAAAGAAACAGAAAGAAAATATTAATAACTTTGACTGCATTAAAATTGCAAACTTCTGTTATCCCAAAGTCATAATAAACAAGGTGAGAAAATAAGATACAGGCTGGGAGAAGAGATTTGTGATATATAGAATGAAAAAATACAAGTATGTATAAAAACATATACATGTAACTCAATAAGGACAGCCTTAATGGGCACAAGATAGGAACCAGAAATTCACATATAGATATAGATGTCCGATAACTTTACGAGTAGCTATTCATTTTTCCATAATAACCAATAACATAAATTGAAATGGTAATATCATTCTGCACCCATTTTAAGTCTCATACAATCAAGCATTACAGGAAATATGGAGTAAGTGGAACTTTTAAACATTGCCTTTGAGGATGTAAATTGGCAAAATCACTTTGGAGAACAGTTTGGCAAATATCTGGTATGCTTGAAGATGCATATATCCTAAAACCCAGCAGTTCAATTCCAGGGTACGTACCCTATAAAAACTCTTGACATGAGCACATAGAGACATGTACAGGGTGTTTATTCCAGCATTGTCTGTAATAGCAAAAGAAAACCACCAAAACTTTAGCCAATGGGGAAAAATACTTAAGTTGTGGTTTGATAATAACATGGAATTCTGTAGCAGTTTTTTTTTTTAAGTAAATGAATTAAAGACACAGTAATTTCAAAACAAAAATGTGTTAAAAAGAAGTTTCAGGAGAACACATAAAGTATGATACTGCTTTTTTTAAAATTTTTAAAGATGTAAAATAACTACATATTGTTTGGGGATACAAATGGAGTAAAATTATTAAGAAATGTATGGGAACAATAAAATTCAAGACAATGGCTGCACCTGAGTAGGGAAAAAGGGTGATGAGTTTGGAAATTATGTGTTTAATGTGGGGCTTCAATTATATGTGTGTGTATATATATATGTAGATATATATATGTAGATATATATATACACACACAGACATATACATACACATATATTGGTTCTATCTCTTAAAGTAGGTGGTAGGTAAATGGGCTTTCATTGTACCCTTTAGCATCTTTACGTGTACTTAAATATTGTGTAAGACACTTCTAATAAACAGCAGAGGTTAATAACTACTAACATATTTTGAGCTCTTCATTATAAGTCTAGTTTTTCTAAACTTTCTAAACTTTACATGCATTCTCTCATTTGCTCTTAGTCTTTGAAGAGATTCTTTTATACCTCTTTAACAGGAATCTAAGGCCTTTAGAAATTAAATAATCTACCTATGGCCATATAGGTGTTAGGTGCCAGAGCCAGAATATGAAATGGGAGCAGTCTGACTTTTAAAAGCTCATACCTTTAATCTCTGTGAAGATTAATCAGCCTCTTTTTGAAAGGCCTCATTAACTTCAAAGAATTCTTCATGCTAGTGCAACTACCATTTCTACCTCTGGATGCAGCTATAACTACAGCAATAGAGCACAACAGCTTTGGCCTCTAAATTCAGTGATTTTCTGAAGCTAGAAGAGCATTTGCTCAGGAGCACAGGGTATGAGTCATTCCCTTAGGTATCTGTTTATTCGTTCAACAAATATTTATCTAGAGCCTACATAGCACAGTGGTAAACCACAAGTTATTTCTTGTCTACATCATTTTTGCAGTTTGCCAAGCTTTTGGGACACAAATTTGAGATTTCCATTTTCATTTCCAGCGAAGGCAGGGAATGTTGTGATTAATTATTAGCCATTTTAGAACTTGCGACCTGGCTTACTGTGGAACTCACTTAAGCCTAACCATTGTTTACCTGAAAATTCACATGGCACCCCACCTTCACTAAAAAAAAAAAAAAAAAAAAAAAAAAAGGTATCTTGAAAAATTTTAATCTACTTCTAGCTAAACAAAGGACAAATGGAAATGAAAATATTATTTTTAAGTTTTATGTGATTACCTCCTTTTTCTCTCTGTATTTCCTTCTTTTTTTCCCCACAGATCGAAGAATGTTTCTTTAACTCTTTCTACTCCAGTGAGATTTTGAGATGTTCCTTGATCACGTATTAGATACCTTGAAATTTTCCTTGACCATGTACTACATGTATTTTATACTCTGTACTTCCTTTTGTATGTGTGTGGAGACTTCATTGGATAGGCAGGAGTTCTGTACTTTCCACAAGATGCTGAGCTCCCAGTAGCTGATAGAATGCTGAAATTGATGCATTGGGGTTTATACTTGTTTATTTTTGTTAAACATTTTTTACAACCTGTGACATAGAAGGCATGGGTTAACTTTAATTACATTCTCTGTAATTAAAATGGGTATACTGAATCTAAGTAAGGTTCCACCTAGAATAATGAACAGTGTAATTACGACTGTCTTGGCCAGTTTGTGCATGTGAACTTTATAGCTAATAACAGCTGTGCCTCTAAGTCATTGTGATCTCTTTTTAAATGATGCAAACCTAATAATGTGAAAAGTAGCCCTCATTTTTACTTCTTGTCCAATCCAATCCAGTGATTATCTGATAGAAGTATTCAAATACTCCATCTCATCTTTTCTTTAATCATTTATTTCCTTTTTTATATTGAATATCTTAGGGACCTGAAGGAATTGTGGGAATTCCAGGGCAAAGAGGTCGTCCAGGAAAAAAGGTAATTTTTTACATTTTCTTATGCAGGTTTTCTTTCTTCTGATGTATCCAGAGCTCCATAGACTGCTGTAATGTTTTTATTTGGACTAGATAGTAAAGTGGTAAATAATTATACATGTTGCTTTAAAAGATACATTTATATAAATTAATATTTAATTTCAGTTAGGAGTACTTATTATCTTGATTATTTGAAGGCAAATTTTCCATTTTGTAGTTTGTAGAAAATCTTGGCTTTTCTTTCTTTCTCTTGTTTTCCAGAAATTCTTTTAGTAGACCATGGGCAAAAAGAAAGATAAAAGGAAAATACTATACCATTTGTGCTATTCAATAATAATTTTAGTAAAGTATTTGAGGGAAAAGAATGTAACTATAATTATTTGTTGTTAATGTGTTTTTCTAAGTTGATTTTATTTTTTCCAAATATTAAGAACTTCAAATCAAGAATATTTTTATTTGCTTACTTTATTTTTTACTAATAATTGGTTGTATTTATAAAATTTTAATACATTATAATGAAAATTTGTATTTATATAAATATAGAATCAATAGTCTATTCAAATATTGATGAAACATAAAAATGGTTTTCCCTTTGGACTATGACAGTTTTGAATTATTTATTGTAATTAACTTCAAGTCACACATATTTTGATTTTCAGAATCCAATTCTAGCATTTCTGCTGATATATACCTAGTCAGTCTTTCTCAGAATTTTTAGACAGTAGATAGGGATAATAAATAATGAAGAGAAACTAATGAGGTAATGTTTAATTGCCATTCTTATCTATTAAAAATAATTTCAATATTGAAGTTTTTTTCATCATATAGAGTGTTATGTCTAAAATCAACATTAATAGTGAGACAGTGCAAGTCTTTGTATAATAACAACCTGCACCACTGGAAAAATAAAATAAAGCCTCTTAACTGTTATAAATCCCAAAAATTTCCTATCCAACTGTGTTCACAGTAGTTTTTCTTTGTGTCTTCTTGCTTATTAGTAATAGAACAGGTTGGTTCTCACTTAAGAAATGAAAAATAACACAGTGTTGTTTAAGAGCAGCTGTATTTTGGTGCTAAAGAAAGGTCAGTTTGTCGGCGGGGTGTGGTGGCTCACACCTGTAATCCCAGCACTTTGGGAAGCCAAGGTGGAAGGATCACTTGAGGTCAGGAGATCGAAACCAGCCTGGCCAACATGGTGAAACCCTGTCTCTACTAAAAATACAGAAAAATTAGCCAGGCGTGGTGGCGGGCACCTGTAATCCCAGCTACTTGGGAGGCTGAGGCAGGAGAATTGCTTGAACTTGGGGGGCAGAGGTTGCAGTGAGCCGAGATCATACCACTGCACTCCAGCCTAGGTGATAGAGTGAGACTGAGTCTCAAAAAAAAACAACAACAAAAAAGAAAGGTCAGTTTGTCTAATAGAAAGCAGAAGACAGTTAGTTTTCAGAAAGATGTAAAATGATGTAAAAATGTTACAGATTTTTCAAGGTGCCCTCCAGGCCAATGAGTGATGATCCTGAATGTACAGAACTGCACACTGGAGCTCTTTTTGTATTGAACAGACCTTTTTGCATTGAAATTCTCTATAGAAACAGACTTTTCAAAGACCTTATTATTTCTCATAGTAACAATACATACATGCATATTTACATACATATATAGCAAAATTCAAAAGTTAAAAAAAAAATGGTTATTTGGAATTCAGCATGAGCACCAGATACCCCCTGCTTGTTTGGTCAAAAATTTTTTTTATCTTTTTCCAAAATTACTTTTATTTTTTAAAATAACTTATGTGGTGATGGCATGTTATTATTGTTAGTGGTGGTCTGTAATACTGTTAACTAAATATTCCTCAGGAGCTATTCAGGAATATGATATAGTTAATTAATCTAAGTATAAATTTTTTTCTTATGTTTCTCTCTTAATAATGTCTTCCATAGGGTGATAAAGGACAAATAGGACCCACAGGAGAAGTTGGAAGCAGAGGTTCTCCTGGAAAAATTGGGAAAAGTGGTCCTAAGGGTGCCAGAGGAACTAGAGGTGCTGTGGTCAGTATTTGATTTACTTCCAGAAGTGAGTCACTGTGGGTGGGAAAGAAATGTATCCATGCCCTTAAAGTTTCATCCCTTGATTAGCTTTACAGAGAAGGCAATAGTTCCATTGAAAATAATCTACCTCCATGGGATGTGGAGAATTGTAAGCATTCCACAGTACTTAAATGGCTTAGTGGTTTCTGGACATGAAAAAGGAAAGAGAAAAAAAAATGAAAATGGAAATAAAATATGAAATGAGGTTTTAAAAAATAAGATTATAACTCCTAACCAAAGTAGGAAATTTTATATGGCCAGCACTTAAAATTGGGATTTAGTATCTGTATAAAACTATGCTGTCATGGTTGACAAATTGCTTTGAAAATCAGGTTTACTTGAAATGGATTTTCTTTCTCTGGTTGGAAACAAACCTGCTTTATCTGGATATTATTTTTCTAACCAGTTGTGATAAATCTACCATCTAATTTTATCTTCAATCTTTCTCAGGAACTTTGCATGATGTTAGGAACAAGTATAGCATAATACTTATGAACTCATATATTAGCTGAATTATATTGCAAATATATTTAGACCTGTTCTGAAAGTCACAGCATGAAAGAGATGCAAAATATTTAAAAGATTATCTAATTGAGTCTTCTGTTTCATAAGCTTTTTTACAAAATGCATGTGTATTTCCATTTAGTGTAGTCTCCATTTAAATGTCACAAGTACTAGACTTCACTAAGGCTTTTTAGAGATCATCGCATAATCCGTTTGTTGTCTGAGGAAAGTTTGCCTCAGGCTCGTTTCGGTATTCCATTCCTTACTGTGATCTAGGCCTTTCTTACTTTCTTTTATTTAAATTACTAGCATTTCTCTGTCTTTGTCCTGTGTACAAAAACATTTTATAATGTCATTAATTTTTAAATTTGACATATTCCCAACCTACCTTCCCAAGAGGTTTCACCAAATTTACACTCCCACCATCAACATTTCATATCACTTCTTTTGATGTTTGCCAATCTGATAAGTGAGAATGTGCATTGCATTTTTTCTTTCTATTTACACTTTCCCAGTTGCACTTTTTTCTTTATGGAAGTTGCCTGTTCATACATACTGCACATTGAATTGTTGCCTTTTTCTTATTGATTTGCAATCACTCCTTATATACTTAAAAAATTAATACATTTTTGTTAAATATGTTACAAAATATATTACAAATGTTTTCCTTTCTGTAATTTATCTTTTAATTTTGTATATCCTTTGCTGTATAGATCATTTTAATTTTTATATGGTCAAACTTGTCGGTCTTTTCCCTTGTAGTTTCTGTGTTTTATTTTACTAGAAATGCCTTCCCTACCTAAAGGATCTAAGAATATTCTTCCATATTCTTCTAATACTTTTATAACTATTTTTACCCTTAACTCTTTAAGACATATGGAGGTTTTTATGGATTTTTGTGGGGTTTTTTTCATGTAAGGTGTAGAAGACTAATTTTATTTTTTCCAAACTTACAGACAGTTGTTCCACTTCCATTTATTGAGTGGTCAGTCTGTTTTCTGCTTTTTTGAAATGCTACTCTTACCATAAACTGAATTCTCAAATATTCATTGGTCTGTTCTTATTCTACTTTATTCTCTGAATCTAGTAGTCTATTTCTGGGTCAATACCACACTATTTTACTTACTGTACTATTGTGATAGTTTCTGTTAGGGCAAATACTTCATAATTCATTTTATAAGAATGTTTGGCTCTTGCTATGATCTCCTCTGTCTTTTTTCTGTTTTGTTTTGTTTTGATCTCCTCTTTCATGTGAACTTTCTATTTCCTTCAATGCTGAATCTTTCTATAAACACCTTATGTCTTTTTATTTACTCATATCTGCTTACATATTCATCAATAAAATATTTCCCTTATCTCTGTTCTTTAATCTTTCTTGTTAAGTTTATTCTTAGTATTTTTGTTTTTTGTTTTGTTTTTGTTTTGCTTTGCTTTTGAGTTTTATTCTCAGTGTTAATATAATCCTTTTTCTGTTACATCAACTTAGTGGTGCTGTTGGTGCCATTATATTTTGATCTTATATCCACTTTAGCGAATGTAGATGATTCTCATAGGGATTCTTTAGGTAAATAATATTGCCTCCCCTTATTTGCTTGTCTGAATTGCTACATTGATTAGAACTTCTACTATAGCAGTGAATAGAAGTCATGATGAAGAAAACCTTGTCTTTTGGGCCTGTCTTTAGTGAAAATGCTTCTAATGCTTATAATGTCAAGTGTTGTTTACAGTTGTTTTTTAGATATACCATTTATTTGTTTAAAGAAATTTCTTTTCGTTCTTAAATGAGAGTTTTGACCAAGAGTAGATGTTGAATTTTATCAAATCCTTTTACAGTATTTGTTTAGATAATCCCATGCTTTCTCTCCTTTGTTTGTAAATATAAGAAAATTCATTAGTAGATTTCCAAAAGTTGAATCAACCATGAGTTCCTAGGATAAATCTTAAGTATAATTATATTATTATTTTAATGCAAATGGATTTCATTTTTTAACATTTTATTTAAGAGTTTTATTTTAGCTTATTGAATTTAGTTTACCTTAAAAGTTTTGCATTTGTATTTGTAAGCAAAGTAGGCCTATTTCTTCATTCCATCGTTCTTCATTCCATCTTTTTTTTAATGTTTACTATCACTAATTGGATTTAGGTATAAGTGTTAAACAAGTCATATAAAATGGGTTGGTAAATTTTTCGTATTTTTCTGTGCTCTGTAACAGTATGGGACATAGATATTATGTCTGTTCTTCAAAGGTTTTATAAAACTTGCTATTAAAACAATCTGAGCCGATTGTTATTTTATTAGCAGTAGATCTTTGGCTTTCTTTTCAAATTTTGTATCTTCTGGAATAAATTTTTGAAATTTTTCTTAAAAATTATTTATTTCATCTAGATTTTCATATTTAGTAAGTGAAACTTGAAATTACTATTTTCTTATAATTAAATGTTTTTCCTGTGGTTATGTCCTTCTTGTTTCTAATGTTGTTTTATCGTGTCTGCTCTTTACCGTGATCAGATTTGCCAAGTATTTTGTTATTTTATTAGTCAGTTCAAAGTGTCTACTTGGTTTTTCACTCAACTTTTTAAAATGGTTTTCTGATTCGCTAATTTATGCTTTAATATTAATCTCTTCTTGAATTAAATGTCTGGCCCAAATATGTAATTTATTTAATAAATACATTATGAAGCTAACTGTTTCCTTTTGAGTGCCACTTTGGCCATATTCCCATATTTTTATATTTGTGTTTTTACCATCATTTACTTATGAATAGCTTGCAATTTCAGATTTTATTTTCTTCTAAATAAGAGTTATCTTAAAGGATCTTTCTTTTTAAGTAGATTTTTAATTTTTGTTGCTCATTTTTAATTACATTGCATTATAGCCAGAGGATATGACCTGTATGATTTCTGCTTTGAGGAAATTTACTAAAATCTTCTTTGAGGCCTAATATACTCAAGTTTTGTCAAAAGATTATGCATTCCTTTTTCTCTCTTCTTTTCTTTCTTTCTTTTTGTTTTCTGGGGCTAATAAACAGTCCTAAGTATTTCTGTTAAATCAAGTTGTTAGCTAAGCTACTTAAATCTTATAGCTTTCTTACTGCTTTTTTTTCTTGCTATTTGAGTCATTGATTTCTCAAAACAGAGTTTGAGGTCTGCTCATCATGTTTTCTACCCGCTTATTTTTGGAAGGTTACATATTTTGCATACATATTTTAGGTACATAAAGGTTCATTTTTTCTTTTATGAATTGCACATTTTATTTCTTGTTATATTGGCTTTAGAGTCACTTGGAGTCAGCAGCAGTCTTTAGCATTGCCTGCTTTTTGCACAACAGTTTCCACACTCATTCACTTATCTTCTAGGCAAATGCTACCATCAGTTACCCAGCACAAGTAGAATAGGAATACCTGACTCCTGTCCCCAGTTAGTCACCTGAACCTATCTTGCCCCTTCAATGTCTTGATTTCGGCATTTGAAATTTCCTTGAGACTATTTGGACATCTGCAACAATTTTTTTCTTTGCATATTTTCAGTCCTAATTTTCTATCTCAGATTACAAAATTTTGGTCCACTGATGATGTTTACTTATTTTCCAGTATTGTTATTACAAATAAATACCTTTATTTTCTCTCTCTCTCTTTTGTTGAATGGGACTATTGAAACAAGCATATGTCATTCAGCCATCTTGAGCTAATGAATAGTGAGTAGTTACATTCTATTCTAGATTATTCACCTAGGTAATGGCTGAATTCTTATTAATGTTTTAAAATTAATTTTGTGCAGTTCCTTTTTTAGACTGAAACTTGTTCTTAACTGAATGAGTCTAAATTTACTGATCAATAGTTAATAGTTGCAATGTGAACTTTTTTAGAGCTGGGACTTTATAGAAATCATCAAATACAGTGAAGCAGTATGATTAAATGGGAAATACTATATATGCAGAAACAAGAGACTTAGTTCTAGTATGATATTTGGCAAGTCACATACCTATTCTGTGCCTTAATTTTCTCATCTTCTATTTGTTTTGAGAGTCAAATAGGAGAGTCAATATGGAATCTTTTTGATAATATGAAATATAGGACTTCTTCTGGGGTTTTCTTTGGGTTTTTTTTTTTGTTTTTTGTTTTGTTTTGTTTTGTTTTTTGCTTTTTCAGTTGAGCAATCTATTCAGTAGGCTAAGGGCATTTGCTGATTAGTCTTTATAGATGGTTTCACCATCTACAAAATATTGATAGTAAGAGTAATCATAGAGTAACTATTACATGTACGTTGTCAACTATTTCTCTTTTAATAACTTTGACCAGGACTAAAACCATATTCATCAAAGCATCTGAAACTAAAAATGAGTATGGAGTTCTGGATCCTGTAGTGACAATGTCAAAAACTCTCAAGTTGCACTCTCTAATATTCAGTGACCACATCTGGCACAAACTTTGACAGATGTAAACCACATTTCCAATAATTCATTTTAGGGACCAGCAGGATTCTGACAACTGAAAGTATTTTTTAAATATGATTAAGGATGGTTTATATCAGAAGTAAACCAAAAAGACATTTGTTACAGAACTTTCTGTGTTTCAGAAAAAAAAATAGACAGAAGTTGGGGTGTTATTTTTGGCTTTCCTACTTCAAACTAGGTAAATTTCAACCGTGAAAAATCTAAAGGTAACAATTTAAATAATAGGAGTACAAGTCTAATGATTCAGACAATTCTCTACTTTCGCTCTCTCACTAATATTTACTTTGTTTTTTAGGGACATTTAGGATTAATGGGACCTGATGGAGAACCAGGAATTCCAGGGTATAGGGTAAGTATTTATAACTGAAAAAATATATTCACATGAAAACATTTTTATTAAAGATGATATCCCAAATATGCAAATTACTATGAAATCTCTCTGATAAACCTTTCTAACATATTTAGGCCTCATGCTCCCAGACAGTGAATCCTATTTTTCATTTCAGAATAATACAATATCTAATACCTAGATAGAGCATGTATAAATGTCTACTTGTCCTTTTGTAGGGCCATCAGGGTCAACCAGGACTCTCTGGATTGCCAGGACCTAAAGGAGAAAAGGTTTGTGTGTATATTGGCTTTTTAATCCTGAAGTTAAACGTTGAGTTCATGAATTATTCCTGAAAGACTGCATGGAAAAATCTTCCAGGAATAAAGGAAGCACTTTTAAAGTTGAAAATTTTACTAATTCCGGTAGAAAAAAATAAATATCAAGGAGCTAAAATTTAAATAAATTATTAAAATATCTTCCACGGGTTGTTTCAAGATTGAGCTGAAATAATATATGTGAAAATATTTGTAGAGCTTTGTAAGAGTAAAATTAATTATTTAAAGAAATTGTAAGGCTCTAGATTAAATGATTAATTTTAGTACATTTATATTAGAGTCTTTGGGGCAGGAGTCAGGATCAAGCGATCTTGACTGTTGCCCAGGTTGGATTCAAACCAATCAAGCAATCCTCTCACCCCAGGCTCCCAAGTAGCAGGTACGACAGTTGCATACCACCGCACCTGTCTCATTGATATTAAAGATTTAAATTTTTTGATGATTTAGGAATAACTACAGCAGTAATCTTAATTTATGGTATCATTGAAACCTGACACTTTTAAGAAAAGTTCTGAGCTGCTTCTTATATAATTAAAGGGGATTGATACTTCCAAGAAGAATCCTGTACAAATTACAACTCTGTATAAAATACCACATGCCTAGTTTCTTACATCAAAGTTTTCCACTTAAAAAAGATAAAATCAAATGCATTTCCTAATATATTTAAAAGTAATAGGTTGTGTATTTTTGAAGTTTATTTTATTTATTGAGTTCTATTTATAAATCATTATTTCATTTTAGGGCTACCCAGGAGAGGATAGCACAGTCCTAGGACCACCTGGGCCTCGAGGTGAACCAGTAGGTCTTTTTCTGAAATAATTCTGGTTATTTAAGATAAAATATAATTATATAATAGATTCACAACACCAATTACGTCTCTTCAAAGAGTTTTCTTTTGTTAGTTTTATCACATGGTTTGATAGGACAGTGATATTTATGGTCACAAAATTTAAATGATATTAAAATCTTTAATATGAAAAATACGAAGGTCATATTTTAGCATAATATATAGGGTTCATATAGTGACTTCCCAAATCTAACTTTCTGCATTGAAGGCATGATAGCAACTTTTATAAAGATTATCAGAAAACTTATACACTCTAGACATTTTAGGGTACATATTTCTTTAATTATCACATTCAGATTTATTTCTAAATATTAAAAAATTCTTATCTATGTACTTCTTATAACAGTTTACACACTATTGCCAAGTGATTTCAAAACCCCTCTACTGAGTTATTAGAACCAATAACCTTTAAAGATTACTGATCTGTAGACTTCTTATTAAACATTTTAAGGACTAACTATAACCATGGTTTCTAAAAAGTAGCTATTATAGCTTTGATTATCTGAATAACTGTCTCTATGTTCATGTTTGACTAAAACAATGTCTAAAGAACATATGTAAATTAAATGAATTAAATGAAAATTATTAGTTCATAGAAACAAATATTATATAATTGGCTATATTTTCCATTTCTCACATAGTATTATATAGAGAAAAGGAATCCTAAGGCACAAGGATCAGAATATGTAGTTACTCCTGATATTTTGACCTGATTCTTTGGAGATGGCTGAAAGTTATACTTTGTTTTATAAATGGACAAGAAAGATTCTAATATTTTCTGATTAAATCAAGCCATCTCATATAGAGGCAATAGGTATATAGACATCTAAAAGAATATGTAAGTTTCTTTATCAAATAATATTTTAGTCTCTCTAAACCACTAAGAGAGGGAAATATATGGAAATAATGTAAAAATCTTAAAGCAAATGGAAAAAATTTGGCAAAGGGAGTATAGTAGCGGTTGTTTTTCCCAGATTTAGGTATGCCAGGATCGAAGAATGTCACCTAAAATGTAATAAATATATTAAAAGTCTAGCATAGCAATAGTAGTTTTATCCAGTAGACATGGGACAGGCATGAAACTTAAACCACAAAGATTCTAAATAATTAAAGCAGAGTCAGAGATTATAGTATTGACATTATGTCTCTTACCTTTGTCCACATAAGAATAAGTTAAAATTTGTCAATTAGTGCTCTATAATAAATCCTACGTTTTTCCAATTAATTTCAATTTAAGTTTTTGTTCAGATGGTAGGTCCTGGTGGGTGCTGATATTTCATTTTATGGTAGATAATTTGATGATTTATTATATTAAAGATTTTCTATTAGAAATGTTCAGGAAAAGTAAGTCTGAGTTTATTAGATAATTTTTGGCTTAAGTATTAAAATTAATAAGTGTATTTTTTAGGTTAAATTAAAAATTTTTCAGATTAAACAATAGACTTTTATTCTGAGACTGTATCTCCCTCTGTTGCCCAGGCTGGAGTGCTGGTTCACTGCAGCCTCGAACACCTGGGCTAAATGATCCTCCTACCTCCCAAGTAGCTGGGACTGCAGGCTCATGCCACCAGGGCCAGCTAACTTTTATTTATTATTTTTTAATTTTTTTTAGAGACAGAGTCTCACTCTGTTGCCTAGGCTGGTCTCAAACCCTTGAGCTCAAGCGATTCTCCTACCTCAGCCTCCCAAAGTGCTGGGATTACAGGCATGAGCTAACACACCCAGCTAACAGTAGACTTTTTCATGAAGAATGGTAAAGTAGGATTTACTTTATAAATACCTTTTAAAAGATCACTCAAACATAACCTTTTGTAATTAATGGCATTATGTACTGAACTGTCCTGCTTAAATCTTTTTCAGTCATTTTAAAATTTAGTAAAAACTTAACTTATTCCAGCATCATTTATAACATACTGTACTAATTGAAACGTTTTGTTATTTTGTTGTTGCTGTTGTTGTTGTTGTTGTTGTTGTTGTTTGAGACAGAGTCTCACTCTGTTTCCCAGGCTGGAGAACAGTGGTGCAGACATGACTCACGGCAACCTCGACCTCCTGGGCTCAAGTGATCCCTCTGCTTCAGCCTCCCCAGTAGCTGGGACTATAGTCACATACCACCATGCCTGGCTAATTTTCAAATTATTTGTAGAGACAGGGTCTCACTTTATTGCCCAGGCTGGTCTCAAACTCCTGGGCTCCAGGGATCCTCCTGCCTCAGCCTCCAAAAGTGCTGGACTATAGCTGTGAGCCACCACACTTGGTGAAAATATTCATATTTTTAATTGGGCTGCATTTTTCAATATTTTTCCTAGTAGATTCATTATGAGATTTTTCTTTATATAATTCAATGGTTGGTGTATTTTTATGTTGTTCTTGGTATCATTGAAATTCAATATTTTGAAATTATTTAATGGAACTAAACAAATCATATATTTGGTTTTTTATTTTTGACAAAAGAATAAACCATATTAATCTTATCACCTGCATTCACATATACTTTGATCCAGCTGTAAAACTGTTTTGTGTGTGGTCTCTGTAGGGTCCAGTGGGGGAACAAGGAGAGAGAGGAGAGCCTGGAGCAGAGGGATATAAGGTAATTGCAAGTTATACCCCTTACTTCTGAATTTAAATAGGGTTCTCTGTGTTTCTGTTCCATTTCAAGTGAAAATAAGCATTATCGAGATAATTAGTAATGTCTTATGTTTTTAATCCTAGAAGAAACGTCTTTCTACGTTCTGTTCCTCCTTCCTAGAATCATCTTTGTCTTTTCCCACTTCTGCTTTTTCTCATCATTCAGATCTCAACTGAAATGTTACCCCTGAGAGGCCTTCTCTAACTGCCCTATCTAAAATAGATCTAGAACAATCAGTCACTCTGGACCATAATACTCAACTTCCTTCATGACATTTTGTGCTATATCATCTTGTCACCTTTTAAATATATTCGTTTCTTTGTTTATTGTTTGTCTTCCTCCACCAAAATGTAGGATCCATGAGAATAAAATCTTGTCTCTCGTTTTCATCATTATACCCCCAGTTTCTAGAACACAAAGTTCCTGGTATATAGTAGGAATTCAATAAAGAGGTGTCAAATAGATGGCTAAATACCTTTATATTCTCAAGGCTTAAGTCAATTCTTATCCTCTTCCATTCCTGAGAGGGATATTATATGACCAACTTAGCTAAAATTAGACTGTGTGTAGAATTATTCAGAGTCATTTTTTAGAATCACATTTGTTTTGAAGATGTTCTGTATTCCTGCCTTATGTCTCTTCCCTCTCTATTTACATTGTCAATTGTTTTACAGTTAGAGGTTGTCTCCTGTCTCCCTATTGTTCCTGTCTTATTCCTTTGCTCATAGCATTCTCTATTTGCCTATAATATTATGTAATCTTTGCTTATGTAAATCCTTTATAATTTCACTCAAGTTTCCTTTTCCCCTGACCCACTAACGGTAATCTTGCTCTCTCCTGTAGTCCTGTAATAGTATTATTTATTTAAGTCATTCAACACAAACATTTTACCATCTTCTGTTGCTATTCTTTTTTTGCTAATTATTTTTAATGTGTAGATGTCTTAGCTCCCCCAGTTTGCATATGTCTTCTTTCTTTCTTGTACAGTGTCTAGTTCTAATCCCTGTACATAATAAGTTTTTAATAATGAATTGATGAGTTAATTGATCTGATACATCTCTCTGTCAAGGTAATATTTCTGTGGTCATGTCTGAAATGCAGATTTATATTACCCAAACTAAATGGACAAGATGATAGATAGATAACTGTCATTAATAAGTTGATTTTTCTCAAGCCAGAGGAATCTGAAAAATTAACTTTCAGTCCCTAAAACTCTCTTTGAAGCAGATGTTGAGAATAGTTCTAAATGTTTGTCAAATTGTTGCGATTACCATTTGTTTTTCTGTTTTCAAAGAAACATTTTTAGCAGGTTATATGTGTTCTGTTTCTAATTTACATAACATTTGTATCTACAAGTGTTTCCTAACCCAAGGAATTGAGTGGATTTATTTGAAATTTACTTTTCTCTGAGTTGAGAAGCCAACCCAACTGCTTCCAGCATAATTTGAGAAGCCTCTTAAAGTTCCTCAGCTTTTTCTGTGCATGACTTCTTCACACAGTCTCAAGAAAACCAGGTTCTTGCAATATCTCATTTTGGCTTCTACCAACTACAGAACATTCAGTAGCTAAATCAGTATATTTACCAGCAAATGAGCAGTTAACTATTCGCTTGAAAGGAGACAAGAATTTCCGCACTTGGCTAGCTGAAGAAAAGCCCTGCCAGCATTATTCTGGACAGTCATTCACTTTTCCCTAGGTTCACTGTCTAATCTACTTCTCCTTCCCCTTGCTTGTATACCCCTGATTAAGTTTTCAACTGTAGATGTTTTATAAACTAGTTTGATCCATGTCTTCCTTTCTGTCTTATTTCTTCCTAAGTCCTTAGTCTTTAGGGATTGTTTTATGTATTGGTGATTCTATGCTAAACACTTAGCCATCTTGTGCCAGACAACCATGCTACTTGTATTGCTTAGCTCAGAATCATGAAATATCCAACTTTCTCCCTTGCCAAGTTTTCTCCTAGCACAAGTTTGATTTATACAGAGGAACCGTGCTTTATTTAGAATTAGGTTATCTTGTTATAGCTTCAGGTGATACTTTAAAATGTTTGCTTTTCTATATGGATATTGTCTACACTGATTTCCCTCTGCTAAACTGATGGTTAGCATTATCACCAAGCTTCTTTATTAGGATAAAATACATGTAACGTAAAATTTACCATTTTAACCATTTTAAACTTTACAACTCAGTGACATTTAGTACATTCACGTTGTGTGCAGTGGAGGAAAAATATCTTTTTCTTCTATCCTTCTGAATTCTTGGCTGGGGACCCTGTGACAAAAGGCAGATTAACAAGAGAAAAGCATACAGATTAATTTCATATAAATTTTATGTAACGTGGGAGCCTTCGTAAAAAAATAAAGCTCCAAAGAAACAGTTAAACCTCAGTATTTTTATGCTAGATTTGATGAGGAAGTCTTAGAAGAATGTAATAGGCCAAAGGTATGGGCTAAGATTAGTAAACTGGGGAAAACTGAGCAAGGACTGTTCATTCAGATTATTCTCTGTGTCCCTTCATTTATGGAGATAAGGATGCTCTTTTCCTCCACGTATAGGGAGGGCACCTCTCACATGAGTGTCTTATGACCTGCATCAAAGGAAGGTAAGAAAGTCCTTTCTGCACATGCTATCCCTCAGATTCCTTTAGCTTAAAATAGTCAATATTCCAAGATGCCGTATTTTGGGGTAGTATGTCTTGAACTTCATCATGTGAAACCATCACCATTGTATAGTTCCAAACATTTTCAACACTTCCAAAAGCAAGCCCCATACCCACCAAGCAGTCACCCCCTATTCCCCTGAGCCCCTGGAAACCACTTTTCTCTTTGTCTCTGGATTTGTGTATTCCGGATATTTCATATAAATAGAATCATACAACATACAGCCTTTTGTGTCTGGCCTCTTTCACTTAGCGTAATGTTTAAAAAGTTCATCCATGTTATAAAATATATCAACATTTGATTCTCTTTATGACTAAATAATCACCTGGCTTTAAAAAAAAAATTGTTTATAGTCGCAAACATCTTTGACCAAAGTCAAGGGTCCTGCTCATTATTATTAATGAATACTTACTTGTACTGACACACTTTATGTGTTATGTATTATAACATTTCTAAAAACCGTGTCTCTGGGCCAGGCACAGTGGCTCACGCCTGTAATCCCAGCACTTTGGGAGACCAAGGTGGGCAGATCATGGGGTCAGGAGATCGAGACCATCCTGGCCAACATGGTGAAACCTCATCTCTACTAAAATACAAAAAATTAGCTGGGTGTGGTGGCACGCACCTGTAGTCTCAGCTACTTGGGAGGCTGAGGAGGGAGAATCACTTGAACCTGGGAGGCAGAGTTGCAATAAGCCAATATTGTGCCACCACACTCCAGCCTGGCAACAGAGCAAGACTCCATCTAACAAAAAACAACAACAACAGCAAAAAAAAAAAAACTATGTCTCTCATCATTAAGCTTGTATTTGAGTGTCTGCCATGGGCCAGGAGACGAGCTAGGGGCCATGGATATTACATTGGACATCCCAGACACAATCTCTGTCCCCATGGACATCATATACATAAAAAACATGGGGAATAAGAACATGTAATCAGTATAAAAATAAACTTAGTGAATTTTAGCTATAAAATATGTACAGTTATTTCATGTTATTTCATAAAAGGAAAAACAATTATAGCTGTCATCCTGCAAACTAAAACTATACATCACATAGATCAAGATAAATTTATTTGAGGCTTGAGAGCCAGAGGACATGGAGGGAATAAACTTATTATCCTGGCAACAGCCACTTTTTAAAGGTATAAATGGAAACATTTTACTTAAAGGTATAAATGGAAACATAAATATCCAAGATTAACTCAAGCTAAACTTAGGAGAGATGAAGTCCCAGAAATACTTTGAATAAATTATATTGCATCTCAAAGTTCTTTTTGCGGGGGAAGTGGGAGCAGGTTGGCAATAGTCATAGAATTTTTACACACAATAAAATAACTAAATCCCAACTTGGTCTTTACTCCTTAGCATCAGACATACATATCTAAATAGCTATTAGACATCATCACAGGCACCTCAAACTCAGTAAGTGCCAAACCATTGTACCTCATCCTTTCCAAATTTGATCTGATCTTCCTCTTGTTATGTCCTTGGTTCAGTGAATAGTATCACCAGCCATTTAGATGTCTAAGCCAGTAGATGAATCCTCTGTCTCTCTCTCTCTCTCTCTCTCTCTCTGTCTCTCTCTCTCTCTCTCTCCCCCCCCTCCCTCTCCCTGTCTTTTTCTCTCTCTTTCTCCCTCTCTCTGTCTGTCTCTCTCTCAATCTCTCTCTCTCTCTCTCTCTCACTCACTCTATCTCTATGAATCTCTTTTTCTTCCCCATACCCCTACTTATCTCTCACAGTCAGCTACTTCTTTTGGTTCTTAAATGTTTCTGGGATCTAGCTACTTTGTCCTACTTTAGTTCAGGCTCTCATCATTTTTCGCCAAAATTATTTCAATAGCTTCCCAACTAGACTCCCTGTCTCCAGTCATAGCCCTCTCAGGTCCATTTTCTGTCTAACATGTTCTGTCAGATGCATCCCTTTATTTGCCATGCTATTCCTTGCCAGAATGTCCTCACTTTACTGCCCGGAACACTCATTCTTCAAGATTGAACTTACCATTTCTCTTATAAAATGTTTCGTAAGTTCCTTTGGCCATTCAACTCATCCCACCACTAATATTATCTGACAAATTCATCACTTTCCATAACCTCTCCTGCATAATTTTGTAATAACATTTTATATGGCATATTGAATTTTTACAATTACAAAAAAATGGTCATAGTCAATTTTTGGAGTGATAGAATGGACCAAAGTAGTTTTAATGAAACTCTTAGACTGCGGGTTTTTCTTGGTGAGATTTACATTCATACTTTACAAAGCTAGGAGAGGCAGTTGGCTATTCTATGATCATTCTGAAAATATTTCTGTAAAACTACATACAGGGATGGTGGAAAAGCCATAATTTGGCATGATAGTTTCGAGTTTTGTAGTTTGCTCATATTCTCACTCTCACTTCAGCTCCAGCTTTTCACCAGCCACTTCTTTCCTGAATCCTGTTTGATAAGTGACCTTCAAGTAGTCATATTTACTTATACCACACTCCCCCTTGATTGGCCAGATTCTGTTCATTGCTGGCTGTGCTCATGTTTTGCTAAGGGTCATGTGTGATTGTGGTTTCTACTTTAGTGTGGCCATGTGCTATATAGAAGCTTTCCAGACTAGCCTTTCTCTCTTGCCACTGTTCACTTCCTTAAACAGGTTTCATTTCCTTTATGAGGAAGTTGACACTTAAACCAAAAACATTTGCCTCAGAATGCAAACAAAGAAGCCTTCAATTGACTTTTCTGTAAGAATAAATATTGTTAACCTATGTATGCAATCTCATCTTCTAGCCCAGGAGATGGGACTGATAACTCTTTCCTAAGGCATTCTTTCTGTAATATACAGAAAATAGGAAGAAATAAATCTGATTGAGTAGAACAGTAGGACAAGGGATAAAAGAGATTACATGCAGAATTCTTCCTGCGTAACTGTCATCTGACACGCTTCTGGGTTGTTGCTAGTTTCTGTTTACACACTTGAAAAGGGAAATGTAGTAGGCCAGCATTCCTTCTTAGGAGAACTGAGGTGATGACGGATTGCCGAATGTCAGTCATGTACTGTTTCTTAGTATTATAGTAATACCTCCCAGTGACTGCTCCCAGTCTTCAGCCCAGTAAATCTACCGTCCAAATAACTGTGAATTTAGTTTGTAAAAATGGAGACCATAGTACACTTTCAGAGGAGGAAGAGGTTGAAAAAGAAATGTATTCTCAAATTCTGTTCCTTTGGTTATTGACTATATTAGTTTCCTGAGGCTGCTGTAACAAATTACCACAAAATGGGTGGCTTACAACAATAGGTATGTAATTTTCTCAGTTCTAGAGACCAGAAATCCAAACTCAAGGGATCAACAGGGCCACACTCCCTCTAGAGGCTCTAGGGCCACACTCCTGCCTCCTCCAGTTTCTGGTGGCGGTCCATTCCTAGGACTGCCTCTCCCCAGTCTCTGCCTGTGTCTTCACCTGGCCTTCTCCTCTGTTGTCTGTTTCAGTGTACCTCTGTGTCACTTATGCTCTTTAGCGGATTTAGGGCCCACATGGATAATCCAGGATAATCTTATCTTGAGATCCTTAACTTAATGACATCTGCAAAGACCCTCTCTCCAAACAAGATCACATTCACAGGTTCTGGGGATTAGGACATAGACACACATTTGGGAGGCCACCATTCAAGCTGCCACGTTAATTCACAAGAAAGAAAGAAAGAGAGAAAGAAAGAGAGAGAGAGAGGGAGGGAGGGAGGGAAAGAGAACCCTAAGTTGTTCTCAGTCACCATAATATCCAACAGCTATTATGTTCTTTTCTATTTCTAAGAAGATTCATAATCTCTATGACATTTAAGTTGAGCTTTGCAACACTTTGCTACCATTTTAAGTGAGAGTATCCTATTCTCTTAAGTCACATGTCTCTACTTACTCTAATAATGTAATCTTTTCTATCTGTAGGGCCATGTGGGCGTACCAGGACTAAGAGGTGCCACTGGACAACAAGGACCCCCAGTATGTTTTGAAAGCATTGTTTCTAAAAATTAACATTAATATAACTTATTTGGTCTCTGCTTCATATGTGATTTTTATTTTGGTTTCTACTAAAGGGCGAGCCAGGTGACCAGGGTGAGCAAGGACTAAAAGGAGAGAGAGGATGTGAAGTAAGTTGAAATTATTTAAGGTAATTTGAGATTTATTGTTAGCAATTTTAGAAAGCAGGAGCACAAGGAGTTGCTATTTATTGTAAGTCAAATTATCATTTATCACTGTAGAATATGGATCACTGTGGGCCTCTAAATAGGGTGTTTTTCAATAATTGTGCTAATACAAAATTATTGATTGAGTCATTTGTTTTGACTATTATCCAAATTTTTCTTTTCCAGAAGCCTATTCTGACTTTGTGAAAATTGCCTAAGTTGTCTCAAATTAATACTATGTTCTTGAGGTTTCAAACAGAAATACCAACAAACCTTAAAACTAGTATTATAAGGTAAAAAAAGAAAATCAGTCAAACCTATATGATTGTTGTAGAAAGCATTAAAGAGAAAATCATTAAATGGATAATTGTTAAAGCATGGTAAGGAAGACTTTGTTCAGGACTATTACAATAGGTACAGTGACCACTGCAATGGGATTTTGCAGTGGGGAAGAGAGATTGGACTCAACACCAAATATAGCATAGGCAAGTAGGAATTTATAACAAAGGAGCAGATTGAGTATGAGTGAATGGAAAATTACTTAAGAGGAAACACCAGGGGCAAGGGGAATTTTGGTTAAACTGACCTAACAAGAATTTTGCTGAAGACGGGCCAAGGTGATCACACATCAACTGTGGGATAATCAGACATCAACTGAGGGATGGTAGAGGATGAGGAACCCAGTTACATATCAAATAGCAAGAGTGATCAGATAATGAGGGTGAAGGTTCTTGCTAAACCGACTTGGCAGGGTTCGTTGCTAAAACTGGATTTTACAAGGAAGTACACGGAGGGCCTAGAAGGTTCAGGAGCCTGACTAAAGTTCGACCAAGCAAAGAATCATTGTCATAGGATAAGAGAGGAAAAAGTAGTTTGACTATGTGACACAGGCTTATAATTGATTTAAAAGTTGTTTCTTCATAAGGCAAATCAAATATTTATCAAGCAAACTAAAAATCTGTTGGTTTACTGAATTTAGTCTTCTCTTTCCATGTGGCCAGATAGACATTGCCTCAACCTTACGTAGCAAGCAACTTTGTCATTTGCACCTTCTATACATTGCTGCCCTGTTTTTCAGGCATTCTGACTTCATATGCTATTGATTTCAAATTCAATTCTTAAGAAAATGCACTCTACTATTAATAATAAATTAGATGAGAATGGATAAAAAGTAATGATTTTGAGATTGTGTTTCTCCTGATTTGTTAAGCAGCCTTCACCCATACTTGTGTTTTCCACTTATGGGAGTAAGTAATAAAATGGGGTTGAATCAGATATGTTAAATAGGCATTCACTTACCTAGAACCCACTTACCTAGAACCCAATGTTACTATTCAGTAACATTCTGTTAGGTTCCCTAATAAATAATATTAATAAATAAAAATATCCTATTGAAGATAAGCCTAAACAAGAAAAAAAAGCAGAGAAAGAAGATAGGTAAGTCATTCACTTAGAATTTTTAGTACCCAAATTGGAAAAAGTCATGGAAGACACTGGGAACCTAGAATACTGTTGCTGCTGTCATGCTACTTCCTTACCTTTGTAGTAAGTGCCTAAGAATGCAAGTTCTGTCCAACATTTGATCCTAAAATGTCTACTTTTTTACAATTAATACTTTCATATTTACAGGCTTTCTTTTTCCATCTTGAGAAATCTCGGGAGTAAGACATTTTCTGATGCTTATTAGTATATGTTAAAATTATGCTAATGAATATCAAATACTCTTACTGGTCAACTGCCTCTCTAGCCTATGTGGTCAGCTCTCCCTGTGTGTTGGAGCTAAAAGGTGCTAAGAAGCCATAGTTTAAATTCTGTATAATCCAGGAGAGCTAGTTCTTTCCTACTTTGGGTAATGCTGGCATACAACCCAAGGGCACATTTAAAAGTCTCTTAGAATTTAAAGTAGTATTAATTGCTACAAGAGTAATGACTGTGTATTATTCACCAGGGATACCTTCAGTGGCCAGATGGGTCCTGTCCAATTGCTGTCATCTTGTTTTTGCAAAGCTTTAAATTTATTTTTTAGATTTGGAAATGGCCCTTTAAAATTATCTGGATAACCCTCTCAGTTTTCAGATGAAGAAATTAAAATCTCAGAGAGATTATGAGTTACCTAAAATCACAGAACTAATTAGCAACAGAAGCAACACTAGAAACATTATTTCCTAGCTCCTGTTATTATGCAGAAGCCTATTACTTGTAATCTTTTAAAAATTAAGTAAAATATGATTAATTTAACCTAACCAACCAATTCATTCATTGGGCATAAGACTGTGGGCAGCTATAAAGAAAAATTTAGAGCAAGTCAAAACCAATTGCAGAGCCATTTTTTAAAACTTTTGTAATGCAAATGTGAGTTAACTGTCCTATAATGACTCTCAAAGACCAAGACTCAAGCCAAAATCTTTGTTCTCCCAAAACAAAATTCCACATTTCAATAAATTGAAATTTCTTGGTTAAAAAAGAGAGAATAATTTTTGCTTAACTCTCTAAATCTATTTTTGCTTTATAAAGCTACCTTCTTAAAGAGTGTTAGAACTAGTGAAGTATCTAGATAACTGTCCTTCAGCCTCATTTAAACAAACAAACAAAAAACAAGAGTTTGTGTTAACGTTGCATATTAAAAAATATTTCCCTCATCAAAATAATTAGACTACGTTCTCTAGTATTCTGTGAGCGAGCACAGTCCCAATGAACAGAAGTCTTTTAAAATGGATCTGATTTCAAATGGGCCACTATATATATTTTTCAGTGCTGGCCAGGCAAAAAGAAAGTACAGTTTTATATGTACTGTAAATCTAATCCATCAACTGCCCTTAACTCCATTCACTCAAATATCCTACATTTGATTTAGAGTTTTCCCCACTCACTCTTCTCAAATTTGGAGTTACAGATGGTAGGGAAGGCGGGTGGAAAATAAGTTTAGTCTTCAGTCATCATCTGTTCACACTAGTGTCCCCTGAAATGCACATCATCCCTTTTGGCCCACAGTTGCTATCATCTCACCATGTTGGCATCTACCTTGGCCCTCCTGCCAGAAGTACTTTGACCTATGCTGACATGTGCAGCTATTTGTTCATCTCAGGTCCAAGACCTCCTCAGGCCTCTCAGGGCCATCTTCTTCTGTTCTTGGCCACATATAAATAACATTATCTGCTCCCCACACCATACAGGGTACTTGGATGACTCAGAAAAACATTCTTAATCCCACTGTCCTAGACATCTCAGGCAGAGACTTTTACTCTATATACTTTATGTAGACTTCTCAATGAGGACGTTGGTCTCCCTAGGTATCATCTTTATGCCCAGATCCCCAAACTTGTCTGGAAGCATTAGTGTTTCTATCCACCCTAAGAAAGACTCAAGGTCAGGCCAGGCACGGTGGCTCGTGCCTGTAATTCCAGCACTTTGGGAAGCCGAGGCAGGCAGATCACCTGAGGTTAGGAGTTCGAGACCAGCCTGGCCAACAAGGTGAAACTCCGTCTCTACTAAAAATACAAAGATTAGCTGGGTGTGGTGGTGCATGCCTGTGATCCCAGCTACTTGGGAGGCTGAGGCAGGAGAATCACTTGAACCTGGGAGGTGGAGGTTGCCATGAGCTGAGATCGAGCCACTGCACTCCAGCCTGGGTGTCTCAAAAAAAAAAAAAAAGAGAAAGAAAAAGACTCAAGGGCAGGATGAGGGGCAAGAGGCTCTTTTCAGAGATTGCTGTCAGTGTCTAACAGTCCTGCTTCTCTTTTGCTTCTTCTTTTCCCTTTCCCTGACTTGAGGATCCTTATCCCCTTTCATGGGAAAAACTCTCTGTTACATTATTATTATTATTATTATTATTTTAAATATGTTCTTTATAGCATAAATTTTATAATTTGAGTCCTTTATAAAAAACGTTGGTTTTTAACTCAAAAATAGACTTTCAATATTGAAGAGTCAGGGTTTTGTGTTGAAAAAACATGATTTTGAAACTGAAAATATGTTTTTTTCCAACTGTTACCCCCACCATGAGTTTCTTCGGACTATTTTGAAATTCAAAAGCCGAGGAAAAGTCTATTTTGAAAAATCAAAAGTATAGAACAGGTATATCTCGTTGCATAAAAAGAAATACTGTAAAGGAAAAAACACACTGATTAACATAATTGCATATTATGATTCATATGCTATTTAATAAGTATTATTCAAGATGACTGAAATCACAACTTTTTTCCACTATTTAAAATAGTCTTTGTTTATTTTGCTTTTTTATTGGGTTAGGAAAAACATATTTTACTTATAGGGATCATATACGCTAGAAATGTATATACTTTAATTAAACCCAGGTCACCAACTATCCCATTTTCTGGTTTTCTCATCTTCAGAAACATTTTGCATTAGTGACTTCTAAGACAAGTACAATAGTTTTCAAAGTTGGAAGTACAACCCATGATCCTTATATCTCCCCATTATCAAATCCTGCAAAAGTTGGATTTTTATCTCTTAGAGAAGATGCTCTTTTTCTCTGTGAAAACATACTATTTCTTCATAAAATCTTTAAGCTCGTTGTCAAAAAAAGTAACATCTTTTGAAGTTGTTTCTCTGTTGTTATTGTTAAACTGAATCTTTAGCACAATTTGTCTTCAAAATTGAATGATTTAACATCCCATTTTAGTGGGATTATCCTGTTTGTGAGAACTGATGATGATTTCTGAGAAATGTGTCTGGTAATGACAACATGATTCTTTTTCTTATTTGTGAACCAAGTCACTCTTTTCCACATTTTCTTCTTTAAATACTTTTAAAATGTCATCAGAACAATGGCATGATTTGTAAGAGCAATGTTCCTAACTATCCTGGCAGACCCATTACTGCTGAATCAATTATGATTTAAAACATCTCACACATGGAAAAGCAAACAGTTCCGTGGGAAATAAATATCTTTTCCTTGAATCACAAGCATGCTCTTCTCTGTTCTTCCAGAGAAGCTCATTTTAGGCTATCAGTTCATGTTCCTCTTACCACATCGTAAGTGTCTTGCAAGGAGGAACTTTGCCTTTGCCTTCCAAGCACGTGACAGAGTCCCTGATACATGATACTCAGTAAATGTTTACTGATAACGTTTACTGGTACTAAATGTTTAAGTAAATATGTAGCATTTTCAAAAGGAGATCAAGGCCCTTCCTGAAAGTAGGGACATTGATTAAATAATGTATTCAGGTCCCTTTTAGAAGTACAATTTAAATTCTTAAATCATATAATTCAGAGCTACAAGGAAATTGCTAGATGATCTTGTCAAAGGTTCTCATTTTCAGATGAAGCAGCTGACTCCCAGGAAAATTAAATGGCAATCTCAATGATATACGACTAGTTCGTGCTAGTTCTTGCTGCAGCATCCAGATCTCAGTGTTCTTTTCTATGGCTTCAGTTTAAGTAAGTTTATTACAGTCAATTGACAACTGTGCTTTCCATTTTTAGGGTCATAAGGGGAAAAAAGGAGCTCCTGGTCCTTCTGGGAAAGCTGGGATTCCTGTAAGTAACAGGCCTCTTTCATCTTTCTTGCTTTTCTAAATAGAACTGGCAACTTTAGCAAGCAGAAAAGTTTGGGGCCAATTATGTCATCATGTTGGATAAATCAGATTGTCTTAAAAACAATTTAAACCCATGCTGGAACACAGAGGGAACAAATACGACCATTAACTCAAAACCAAGCTTGCTGTTTAAATATAAGTCCCTTCAGTTGAAGGATGCTATTTTCCTGTGTTATGAAGCCCTCCCGGTGGACTCATGCTTCTGACAGTGAACCACTGAGAAACAGAGAACTTAAAATCATAATGAAATGAATGGTGACAAAGACCAGAGATCTTCAAGCATAATTAAAATGGTATGAGCTAGATTTTAATTAGAGGACTCAGCCTCTCATTCTCTAGACAAATAAAAAGTCTTAGAAAAAAAAATAATCTTTTTATCACAGGCAAAGATTAACTTTTACCTCACCATCAGTTTCCTCTCCTGGCCAGGCAGATAAGTGTTGACTGGCTCTTCAGCAAAGACTTCTACTGGTGTCCCCTAGCCAAGGATTAGATGCCTGCTTTGGGTGACCTGTATTGGCTTGAAAAAAAATAGAGAAAATGAATGTAAATTATAAGCACATTCAGATCAGAGATCCTTGAATATGAAATTCAGTTGCCCAAAGGTAGAAACAAAATGTTCAGACCTTGCTTCAGTCATACAATTATCTGATTCAAAGTGGCAACTAATTAGCCATAATTTATTTCTCGGGAAAATAACACAATATAAGGTTTGGCAGATGGGAAATGATAGCCTCTGTCCTAAGATGACAGGTGCATATAGCTGATCTTTTCTCCACAATTATATAAAATATTGGTTTACACAATAAGAAACACCAGAGAATTACACTAAGGCCCAAAAAGTTACACAGTAAATTGTTGATTAGCTTGGCATTTTTGTTTGGGGAACTTTTAAAGGCTTTTAAACTTTTAAAGCTATCTGTTGAATCCAAATATTAAATCATTAAGGAATCCAGGAAACAGGAAAATTTGTCCTAGAACAGAATATTAAAATGTAAACTTCTCCAACTCAATAAATAAAAAAGTATTTGTCATCTTAACATCTTTTCAGCATCTTTTCATCCAAATAATTTTTAATTATCAAGGGACTTCAAGGCCTACCTGGACCAAAAGGCATACAAGGATACTATGGAGCAGATGGCATTTCGGGAAACCCTGGAAAAGTTGGGCCACCAGGAAAACAGGGACTTCCTGTGAGTAGTATGGGTATCTCTTTGCTCATTATTTCTTATGCATGTGTCTCCTTGCTAGACCATAGATATTTTGGCTATCTATTTTAGCTTTGGCATTGGCTCAGATTAAGCCAATTCATTTCTCTAATAGCTATTATGCAGTTGTATTTAGGATTTCCAGGAACTGTCAACAGGTACATTCTCTTCAGTATTTTATATCTAATAACTCATAGTGTTAATAATTCATGCCATTTTAAAAATATAAAAGCTGTTAAAAAAGAATTATAAAGAAGCAAAAACTTAAGGACTACACAACCTGGCTGTACTTTGAGTTCATCAAATGTTTTAAGCCACCTTTGGAACATTTGGGTCTTGGCAGTAACTCAAGGTAGGTTCTGTGAAAAATAATTTTCCCTTTACTTTTATAGCCTCAGTATTTTACAAGAATTGTGTGAATATTTTCTCTGTGTTCATCTAATTCATTCATTGCAATAGGTCCATCAGCTGTCTGTCTTCTGATGCATAATTCTTCATACTGTATATTAACTGCATTTCAACTACCAGAAGAACTTTTGGTAGAATAGCAAACCCATGTCTAGAATATGTGTCTACCCCTGTGAGGACAATCACAGCTAGTTCGAACTGATCCCTTAAGGAGCATTGCTGTGTTGGGAGCTGAGTGTCAGCATCTACTTTTAGCAAGTTTAGCAGTCACCAGGGGTGGTAGCCAAATCAGCCTTGGTGAAGAAAAGTCCACATTGTTGGATTTGTGCCAGTGGACTCATTGAGCAACCACCATGATTATTTTGGGAAAAAAAGTAATGCAATCATGTAGATTCACTTTTATTTTTATGCAGATTTCTATCTTATTTATTTGAATTTAAAATTTAATTTGAAATTTAAAAATCATATTTTTGTCTTTGCTTAGCCATTTTCCCGCTTTCCTTCCCTAATGTCATCCTAATTGAGACATTTTTGCCCCAGGTTGTTTTTACTTTAAACATTAGAAGAATTAGAAAAATTAACCACATACTTTTAAGAATACAGTAAAATTTACCCTTTTAAATTTCTGCTATTTGGATATGGTTACCTATCGATTTGTTGTTCTTTTCTTAGGTAATAAGTCAATTCTATTGTTTATTCAAATCTAGTATGGTGCTATGCCTAAACTTAAATGCAAATTAATATTCTTTTTCACTACAATGAATTATCTCATTTGTTTAAAAAAAATGAAATGATGACTTAACCAGTAAAATTATTTCATTAATAAATATCTAGTCAGATTCTCTGAAAATATGAATACTGTTAAGAAGTCTTAACATGGTTTCTATTTGTTTTGGAAGAAGCAGGTTATGGCCTAGAAAACTTGAACAGTCAGGTTGAAGTTTTTAATTAAAATAAGTATTGTATAAACTTTTGCTAGTAGTATCAGTCTGGTTAAAAGAGATTCATTTGAAATCCCAGTCTTATAGGGAGCTCATACACTGGGTCTCCGTCTTCATGCTAATCTCCATACTCACCATGTGATAGTCTTATAATGAGACTGTGAAATGTTAAAACTACAATAGTAAAACCCTTTGAATTGGTTTGAGAGTCTGTATTTTTGTGGATTAAATTTTACTGGGAAATATTGTAGTGAATCTCTTCCTATTACTTTGAATAAGATTTTTGAGAATTCAAACAAGGAAAACCACATGTGAAAATATGTCCTATTTGTTGCTGCTATACACAAGTATAATCATGGAGGTGGGGTGGATGGGCCCAGTAGTTTATAAGGCTAAACAGTGAGTTGTAAAAGTACTCGTAATAGCAAATAAATTTATTTGATAATAAATTGGTAGTAATTAACCTTATTAATTAATAGGACCAGGAAGTCATTTGTTCTCAGGCTAAAATACGACTAATCCAGATATTAGTTCCCTATGTGGATAATAGAAATCAGTATCCTACATATGGGTTTAAGAAAAATTTCAGATGTCCAGCTTATGAGATACTCATCAGGACATTAGTGACACATCAAAGTCATTAATTACTTTTTACTCAGGTCATTTAATGGTTCATTATGACAAACAACTTCTTTCTAGCAACATGTAATACCTAGAGATCCCTCAGGAAGGACAGAAAATTTCATGGAATGAAAACATTGATATGTATTATAAAATTATGGATAATTTTCTCTTGAGATCAGATATTATGGAAATCTGAATTGCTGCTTATACATTTTGTCTGTGCTTTCTGAATCTGCTAGGGCCCAGTTTCAATATATGACGTTTTTATTTAGGAAAATTGCAATGTGGCACTGATTATCTGTTGCTTGTTTCTAGCAAGAAAATAGATGTTTTCTAACAACTCTACATTTTTCTTCAATATTGAGGTAATATTTAAAGGACAGTAATTTAATGGCTAAGAGAAAGCCAATACAAAAAATACTGAGTTAACACAAATAAAATGTTCATTCCATTCAATGCCACTCTAAACCTTATTCCTAGAATCTGTCATGCTAGTTTTATCTGCTGTGTCGGCAAAGGCTCATGCCTGTAATCGAAACACTGGCTTTATCTAGAATACATAAGAATGAAGGGGTCTTAAGGCCAGATGATGAAGCTGTTTGCATTCTAGAACCCAATTAGGACTTTGGGATACCACCAAGTCTGACTGGTTTTAAAGAAAAATCTTCTCTGGCTAACCTAAGCAGAAAACAAATTATAAGATAGAGACTGGGTTGCTTACAGAATCAGCTAAAAAGCTTGAAATCCAGGGTCAGAAAACAGTCTGAAGTTAAGGATTTCTTGCAACAGAACACCCCAAGCAAGGAGTAGTCTAGTTAGGATGCCACCAATGACATTGGCATCAGTCAACTTGGCCACCATTGGACTCTCCGTGCCAATGCTACTGCGTTATGAATAATTTCTAAACTGTCATGCATCTTCATGCCACTTTTTCAAGATTCAAAGACCTGAATGAGATTGTCTAGTAATTTGACCTAAGTCACCTGCCAGAGTCCTGGATGCCAAAGGAGGCAAAAAAAAAAAAAAAGTCTTTCAACTTTGGCTTCTTTTGTTTTATTTTTTTATTTTTTTTAAGGTTTTCCACTCTCTCTCTTTGTCTTTCACCTTAGGTATAGAGTTGTTGGGATAATCATATTAATGAATTTATGCATATTATCATCCTTCAGTTTCTTCATGGACCTACTCTTAGGCTGACTTCTTTTTATCCCCATTCTCATTCCCCTCTCCCTAAAATAGTCCACTATTTTATAATTTTAAAAGTGTATTTTTATCTTTATGTGTTCTTCCAAAAATATACTACTGGTTTTTATGCATATCTTTAATTATGGAAATGATATTAGGCCATTCTGCATCTTTTTTTTCACTTAGCACTGGGATTTAAAGATACATTCATATTGCTATAGGTATATCGGCTCTCTCTCTCTTCTGATGTATAATTCGTGCTGTGTATCAACTGCATTTCAACTGCAAGAAGAACTTTTGGTAGAATAGCAAATCTATGGCTGGGCACGGTGGCTCAAGCCTGTAATCCCAGCACTTTGGGAGGCCAAGGCGGGCAGATCACGAGGTCAAGAGATCGAGACCATCCTGGCTAACACGGTGAAACCCCGTCTCTACTAAAAAAATACAAAAAACTAGCCGGACGAGGTGGCGGGCGCCTATAGTCCCAGCTACTCGGGAGGCTGAGGCAGGAGAATGGCGTAAACCCGGGAGGCAGAGTTTGCAGTGAGCTGAGATCCGGCCACTGCACTCCAGCCTAGGCGACAGAGCAAGGCTCCGTCTCAAAAAAAAAAAAAAAAGCAAATCTATGTCTGGAATATGTGTCTACCCCTGTGAGAACAATTGCAGCTATTATAGCTCCAACTCATCTCCCAGGGAGCATTGCCCTGTTGGGAGCTCAGTGTTGGCCTCTACTTTGGCAGGTTTGGCAGTCACCAGGGGTGGTAGCCAGATCAACCTTGAAGAAAAGTCCACATTGTTGGATTTGTGCCAGTGGGCCCATTGAGCAACCACCATGATTAGTATGGAAAAATGTTGACTGATATCCAGTAAAGGTCCATCTTCTTTACCTGACTATTGAGAACCTACTCTATAGAGGATGCTCTCTGTTAAGTATCTACGTGGAATATAATTAACTCTACATTGATTCCATTTTGAAAGGTTCATCTAAATTTATCTTCCTCGGACCTTCTTATCATTAGCCTTTCAAACCCATTATTTCCAAGTGCCTGACCAGCTGGCCAAACTCTTAGGCAGTGCTCTCTGAATTAGTGTAGATCCATATCTCAAGCCATCTCTCCTTCTAACTATATGTATTGCCTCAAGTTCTACCTACTGGAAAGAGTTCACCTTACTAACATCTTTCAAGCTCTAATGCAGCCTGAAGCTGTACACTTCGGGCTGATGTTGACAATCAATGCAGATCTATCCAAAAATCAGGCCTGAGGTTTTTCCTCCTTCATTAACTAGTAAAGGGAATTGTCTAGGAAAGTTGAAGGAGCAATGTCAAAGCAATGGGAACAGGTGTCATGGAAATCTGAATTGCCTGCTTACACATTTTTCTGTGCTTTCTAGACCTGCTAGGGCCCAGTTTCAATACATGCCATTTTGATTTAAGAGTAGTATGTTAGGGTATACATTCAATTTCACGGTTCAGTGGATTCAATTATTACCCAGTTCATAATGGGAAAAACACAGAACAGAGAGCATAGCCATTTGACATTCCAGGTTCAGTCATTCAGTTTCAATCAGAGCAAGCTCATAGCTGTATTCCAAATGGTAAATTGCATTTGACAGAGAGGGCATGGCCTGTCTCCAAAATCTTACGGATATAAGCAGGGTTTCTCTTATGGGAGATTACCAAAGGGCCCATATGGCATCTCTACCAGCTACAGAGCCTTCTGATATAATTAGAGTTTATCAGTCATGAGGTCCAAATATTAATAGCATTGTAACTTACATCCTGAATCTGCTGCAGAGCCTTTTCTGACTTCAGGGTTCACTCAAAACTGG